GAGAAAGGAAGCCACCAGGTCCGGGACTTGAACCATGGTCAGCCATGTGGAGATTTTTAAGCAAAACTTAAAAATAAATAAATAAATAAATAAATCTTGGGCCAGCAGGTGGCATGGTGGTTAAGGGCACTGGATCACACGTGGCAGACTGTGTGGTTCAAATCCCGGACCTACCTGCTTGAGAAACACAATCGACTCATGCATGAGTGTCCACAATCCCAGAAGGAGGCGGAGATGCAGAAGGGCTTGCAGTCTGACCGTGCCCCATTAGGGAGTGCTTTCTCCCTCTCCTCTGGTGAGCACGCACACCCTCTGGCAATTAAAAAAAAAAGATAAAATATATATGAATGGCCTTAATACAATTTTCTTATCCAACAAAATGAAATTTTAGGATAATCTAATCAAAAGTCTGTGTTCAGTTTTTGCCATTTGTGTCAAAAATATTTTTCTTTTTTTTTTGGAGAGGTTTTTGCTATAGGGCACGTGCACTCGCCAGACAGAGAGAGAGAGACAGAGAGACAGAAAGCGAGAAATCACCCCCCAGGTGGGATGGCCATGCTGCAATCCCTTCTCCTCCATGCTCCTCTCGGGATCTTGGGCACGCATGCTTACGCACCTAGTGTGAGTTTAAGCCACCGGGTCCAGGACTTGAACCGCGGCCTACTACATGGGAGTCCAGTGACATAGCCATTACGCTAACTGCTGGTCCCGGAATAACTCTTACAACTCAATAATTAAAAACAAATCTCCTAGTTATAAGATGGGCAAAGGATCTAAACAGACATTTCTCCAAGGAAGAAATGCAAATGGCTCACGAGCATGTTGGCGTTGAGCTCATTACTGTTAGCCGTTAGGGAAATGCACATCCAAACCACAGTGAGACTCCCCTCCACACCCAAGAGGAAGCTAGAATTAACTTACAAGCTAGGCCAGCAGGTGGCTTTGTGGTTAAAGCCCCGGATCCCACATGGCCGACCCTGCGATTCGAGGCCCCCGACCTGGCAGCTTAAAAACACACTGGGATGGTGCCTGCCTGCCCCAAATCTTTCTCCAGCAAGCACACGTGCCTCATGGCAAAAATCTAAAAGCAAAAAGAAGTCACAAGCCAGCTCACGGTGTGGTGGTTGAGGTGGCTGAATGTCACGTCGCCAGCGCAGTCTGAATCCTGGACCCAGTGGCTTGAGAAACACTTCAGAAACGTGTGTGCACGCCCAAAATTCTGAAAAGAGGGAGAAATGGAAGAGAAGGGGCTGCAGCATGACCACGCCCTGGGGAGACACTTTCTCACTCCCTGCCCCCCCTCTTTGGTGAGTGCACATACTTCTGGCAAACTTCTAGAAGAGTGTTAGTGAAGATGCAGGTAACCTGGAACCCTCGAACTCTACCGAGGGGAATGTAGAATATGGTCCGGCAGCTCCTCAGCTGATGAAGCAGAGTTTTCATGTGACCCAGAAATGAGTACGTGCGTCTTAACCTGCATGAGACTTTACAGCCGTATTATTCATAAGGAAAGAAATGACCACCGACTGATGAATGGCTTTTAAAATTTTGTATTCATACAACAGAATCTTATTCTGGGATTTAAAAAAAATAAAAAGAGCGTAAGAACCAGACAATGTGGTGCACGGTAGCAAAGCTGTGAGGCTGACCCACCGGGGGCCTGGGTTCATGTCTGCAGACCTCCCTGAATACTCTGCGTGCACACGTGCCCGTGACCCAGGGCTGGCTGGGGCCGGGGTAGACTGCGGTGTGAGGAGCCCGTTCTCTGTCTCCAGCTCATGGAAGAAAGAAAAGAAAGAAGTAAAGAACAGATTCATGCCACAGCATGGATGAACCTTGAGACTACATGCTCAGGAAAAGAAAGCAGGCGCCTTAGTACATGGCTTCATTTGTATGCAAGCCCAGGCGAGGGGAATGTATGTAGAAGACTAGGGCTGCTCAGGTGAGTGGGGCAGATGGCTGGGGTCAAGGGGGACGCCCGAGTTCAGTTTCTGGCCCAGCCCAAACGGGCTTTGAATGGTGACGTGTAACCGAGGTCCTCGCTAACAGGCCGCTCTCCTCCGGTCCAGGAGAGCGATGTGTCAGGACGTGTCAGAAATAACCATCTAGTCCTCTTTTCTGGCTGGAACCACGGAGGGCGTTCAAGAGAAGAAAAAGAAGGTTCCTGCTGCGGCAGAAAACAAGAAAACGGCTCCTGCTACTACGGAAGCCACCAAGAAAAAGGTTCCTGCTGTGCCAGAAACCCTAAGAAAAAGGGAAGGAATTTTGCAGAGTTGAAGATCACGCGTCTGAGAAAGAAGTTTGCTCAAAAGATGATTCGAAAGGCAAGGAGGAAGCTTATCTATGAAAAAGCTAAGCACTATCATAAGGAATATAGACAGATGTACACAACTGAGACTCGCATGGCCAGGACGGCAAGAAAAGCTGGCAACTTCTATGTACCTGCAGAACCCAGATTGGCATTTGTCATCAGGATCAGAGGTATCAATGGAGTGAGCCCAAAGGTTCAAAAGGTGTTGCAGCTTCTTCGTCTTCGCCAGATCTGCAATGGCACCCTTGTTAAACTCAACAAGGCCTCAATTAACATGCTGAGAATTGTGGAACCATAGATTGCATGGGGGTACCCAAACCTGAAGTCAGTAAGTGAACTGATCTACAAACGTGGTTATGGCAAAATCAATAAGAAGCGAATTGCTTTGACAGATAACTCTGCGCGATCTCTTGGTAAATCCGGCATCATCTGCATGGAGGATCTGATTCATGAAATCTATACTGTTGGAAAACGCTTCAAAGAAGCAAATAACTTCCTGTGGCCCTTCAAATTATCTTCTCCACGAGGTGGAATGAAGAAAAAGACCACCCATTTTCTAGAAGGTGAAGATGCTGGCAACAGGGAAGACCAGATCAACAGACTTATTAGAAGGATGAGCTAAGGATTCCACCATGATTGTTTTTGTAATCTGGTCAGTAAATAGTGGCTGTTTTCAGACTGCAAAAATAAATAAATACTAAATAAATAAAATAACCATCGAGATGGAGGGCTAGAGAGTCATGGTTTTGATAATGCCTCAGGGCCTGTGAGGTTCTGTTTCGTTTCCGAGAAGTCGCTTTCAGGCTTTATTCTGGCCTGAAGGACAATCTCGACTTTGGGGCTGGATTTGGGCTGGTGGGTGTGGGCACAGCCTTGGCCCTGACCTGAAAGGGCGCCCAACTGGGCCTGTGGCATTCCGGTCCCATCACGTGATCACACTGGCAGTCCCTGCTCGGGACAGAGCTACGCTGCCTGCTGAGCTGGCTCAGCCGCCACAGTACCGGGGTCGGCACCTCAGCGTGGAGACGTCGCATCCTCTACACAAACGTGGTTGCATCTCCAAGTTCGAATCTGTCCCTAGACCTGGAAACCACTTTATCTGGGATCAGGCGAAATGGATCCAGTAGAATAAAGTCGAGAGATGCAGGTGACAGATTTGCAGACTGGGACTTCCTGGGACTCTGTCACCTTCACGGCCCTGGGCACTGACCACAAGTTCGAGTCTTGGACCTGGTGGCTTAAACTCACACTGGGTGCGTGTGCGTGCGTGCCCAAGATCCCGAGAGGAGAATGGAGGAGAAGGGATGGCAGTGTGGACATCATCCCTGGGAGGTGATTTCTCGCTTTCTGTCTCTCTGTCTCTCTCTGTCTGGCAAGCACACGTGCCCTATAGCAAAAACCTCTTCAAAAGAAAAAAAAAGGAAGTTAAAACCCACAGGATGGGAGATGGCATTTGCAAATCATATATTCTGATAAGGTTCTAGTATCCAGAATATATACAGAACTCTTACAACTTAACAATAAAAACATAAATGACCCAATTAAAAATGGGCAACCACCAGCAAGTGGGGTGGTGGCTAAGGCGCTAGACTCCCACATGGTCGACCCTGGTGGCTTGAAACTCACGCAAGGTGTGTGTGTGTGCCCGAAATCCCAAGAGGAGAGTGGGGGAGAAGGGATTGTGGTGTGGCCATCCCCCCAGGCGGTGGCTTCTCACTTTCTCTCTCGCTCGCTCTGGCTAGCATGCACACCCTGTGGCAAAAACCTTAAATAAAAATGGGCAAAGGAGGCCAGCAGGTGGCGTGGGGGTTAAAGCGCTGGATCCCACATGGCCACTTCATGGTTCATGCCGGACCCAGTGGCCTGAAAAATACACCAGGTGCCTGTGCATGTGTGCCCAAAGTCCCAACAGGAAAGTGGTGAAGGGATAGCAGCGTGGCCATCCCCTTGGGGGTGGGGGGCGATTTCTCACTTTCCCTCTCTCTGTCACTGGTGCGTGCACACACCCTATGGCAAAAACAATCTAAGAAAAACCAAAAAAAGGGGGCAAAAGACATGAATAGACATATCTCCAAAGAGATGTACAAATGACCAATTAGCTCGTAGGAAGCAGCTGACCTCATCAGTCACTGGAAAGCGGCCTGGCGGCTCCTACAGCTGTGAGCAGAGTTACTGCGTGACTCAGTGACTCCACTGTTAGGTGCAGACCCAGGAGAAACGGACAGATGTTTGCACAAAGACTTGTACGTAAATGTTCATGGTATCACAGCTACGGAAGAACACACAGATGAACCAAGTGTGGCCCAGGGCATCGCACTGACACATGCCATGACCTGGGCGAGCCTTGGGAACAGTGCTGAGAGAAAGAAGCCAGACACGGCACTTACTGTATGATTCCGTGTACAGGAAATGTCCAGAACAGGCAGATCTAGAGACACAGAAGGTCAGTAAGTGGGGGCCAGCCAGTGGCGTGGTGGTTGAAGATGCTGGACTCTCATGTGGCCAACCATGGTTCGAGTCCCAGATCTAGCAGCTTGCTTTCTCACTCTCCCTCTCTCTGGTCAAATTAAAGAATAATAATAAATACAAATTAAAATAGATAACTTTTTTTATTTTTAAAATGTCCTGGCATTAGAGAGTCCTTATGATTCAAATAACTGATGTGCTCTGTCTCCTGTCTGGACCCTAGGGCTATGCAGGAAGCCTGGAATCGGCTGTGCGAAGGTCCACGGGAGAGACGGGGAGATCGGGACCCAGGCAGCTGCAGTGAAGAGGAAGCCGGGAACTGGCCAGCCCACTAGGCCTCAGTGACAGCGGGCAGGGCTGCGGGGCTGACTCACAGACCAGAGACCGGGGGACATAGAGGCAGAAGCACGGGGAAGAACTGGGATGCACCTGTCCCACTGTCTCTGCAGCCGTCTAGTTCCCAGACTCCCCTGGAGAAAAACAAGTCCCTGTTTAAAGAGCCTCGAGTCGTTCTCAGAAATAGCCCCCCTAGATAGCACCAGGAGAGCTAGGGTGGCATCAGAATCCCAGATCACCTTCTTACTGAGATGGGACAAAGCCATCTGCACTGACTTGGGGTGTACAACAGGATAAATCGAAAAGGCCTTCCTCATTAAAAAGGTTACCCTGGGAACCAGCAGTTAGTGTAATGGCTATGTCGCTGGACTCCCACGTAGTCGACCACGGTTCGCATCCCGGACCCGGTGGCTTAAAACTCACGCCGGGTACGTGTGCGTGTGTGCCCAAGATCCCGAGAGGAGAATGGAGAAGGGATTGCGGTGTGGCCATCCCCCCTGGGGGGTGATTTCTCGCTTTCTGTCTCTCTGTTTCTCTCTGTCTGTCTGGTGAGCGCACGCACCATATAGCAAAAACCTCTCCAAAAAGAGAAAAAGTCTACCCTGGGCCAGCTGGTGGCGTGGTGGGTAAGGCCATGCAGATGGATCTCACATGGGCCAGTGTGAGGTTTGAGTCACGGACCCTGCAGCTTGGAAAACACCCTGGGTATGAGTGTGTGGGTGCCCACAATCTCGAGAGGAAGATGGAGAAGGGCCTGAGGCATGGCTATCCCCCCCCCCCAGAGATGCTTTCTCACTTTCTCTGTCTGAACGAGAAGCCGCCGCACAGCTGGTCATGACTCGGGTACACGTCCTGCGCACGGATTATAGCTGCAGTCTCGAGCAAGCAGCCTCGTCCCTGTGCCTGCACTCCCCCTCTATAAAATGGGGGCGATGATGGCTCCTACCTCACAGGGTTGCTGCTTGAGAATTAGACAGGCTAATTTGTGTAAGCACTTAGAATGGCAGGACCAGCAGATGGCGTATGGTTACATTGCTGGATGCCCACATAATTGACCATGGTTCGAGTCCCGGACCAGGTGGCTTACAACTCACGTCAGGAGCGTGTGCATGTGTGCCCAAGACCCTGAGAGGAGAATGGAGGAGAAGGGATTGTGGCATGGCCATCCTCCCTGGGGGGTGATTTCTGTCTCTCTATTTTTCTTGCAAGTGCACATACCCTATAGCAAAAATCTCTATAAAAATAAAAAGAATAGAGTGGCGCTCACTGAGTGAGTATAAGGCTGTTAGGAAAAGCATGACGTGTTTTTCTATGCAAAGATGTGTCGTGACTTACAGCCCAGCAGTGACTCGGGCCTGGGCTTTTCCACATAGTGGTTTCTACCACAAGCAGGGGAGACCTCCAGCCTCAACTACGGGAAGTAAGCGCTCTCCCCAGCGTGGGCTCCCCACCCCTCAACTTGCTACTTCCCTTCCCTTGCCTTTTAAAGACATTTCAGTTTCCCGACAAACGGAACAGAAATGCAGAGGGTTCTCAAGTCCTCTCCCTTCCCCTCCACCCTGTCCGTGGTTTTCGCTGTCACTACCTCTGTTACTAACATCGTCCTTAGTGCGGTTATAACTGATGCGACGGGGACACATGAGCTACAGCTCAAAACTTACTTTCGGGTTCACTCTGGGTTGTGCATCCTGTGGATTTTGGCCAAGTGTAACGATGCGAATCCCCCAGTACGGTAGCAAACGGTTTCACTGCCCTAACAAAAGTCCCCTGTGCTTCCCCTACCACCCCTCTCCCATGCTAGCAGAATCCTGCAACCACTCATCTTTGCACTGTCTCCTTCGTTTTCCGCTTTCCAGAACCTCGTAGAGTTTGAATCGTCTAGTGCATAGCCTTTCAGACCAACTTCCTTCAGGTAGCAACACCTTTTAGGCTCCCCATGGCTTTCTGTGGCTTGATGGTGTGTTGCTTTTTAGGCCAATACTCTTCCATTGTATGGATACACCACTGTTTATCCAAAGACATCTTTGTTGCTTCCAGGTTTCAGCAGTTATGAATAAAGCTGCTATAAACATTTGAGTGCAGATTTGTGTGTGGACACAGATTTCCAACTTATTTGGATAAATAGCAAGGAGCACGGTTGCTGGAACATATGGCAAGGGTATATTTAGTTTTGTAAGAAACTGCAATGCTGTCTTCCAACCGGCTGTACCAGTCTGTACTCCTGTTAGCACTCAGGGGGAGTTCCTGTTGCTCCACATCCTCACAGAACGCGGTGCTGTCGGCGTCTGGGATTTTAGCCATTCCAGTGGGTGCAGTGGTATCTTGCCTTAATTTGCAATTCCCTAATGACTTCAGATGCTGAGTGTCTTCTAATATGCTCCTTTGCCATCTGCTTATCTCTAGTGAGGTGTGCGCTCAGGTTTTCTTTTTTTAGGTTTTTACTATAGAGCTCATGCGCTTGCCAGAAAGACAGAGACAGAAAGCGAGAAATCACCCCCCAAGGAGGATGGCCATGCCACAATCCCTTCTCCATTCTCCTCTCGGGATCTAGGGCACGCACGCACACGCACCAGCATGAATTTAAGCCACTGGGTCCAGGACTTGAAATGCGGTCGACTGTGTGGGAGTCCAGTGACGAAGCCATCACGCCAACTGCTGTTCCCCAGATCTTTTTTTTTGTTTAAATTTCCTGAAGGAGGGTACGTATGCTCATGGGGAGTGGGAGGGAAGGGAGCCTCCCTCAACGGGGCATGGTCACACCACAATCCTTTCACCTCCATTTTCTATCCTGTTGGGATTTGGGGCACAAACATGCACTTAGTGTGTTTTACCGCCGCCAGGGCCAAGTTTCAAACCACAGGGCTATGCGGGATCTGACTCCTTAACCACTAGGCTATGGGGCCAGCTCTGTTCCGGTCTTTTGTCCCTTTTTTAAAAAAAGAATTATTTTAGGTATTATTATTTTTTAAAGTTTGCTATAGGGCATGTGCACTCACCAGAGAGAGAGAAAGTGAGAAAGCAAGCCACCAGGTCTGGGATTTAAACCACAGTTGGCCATGTGGGAGTCCAGCGTCCTGAACCACCAAGCCACCTGCCGGCCCTAAGAGAAGAACATTCTTTGATGGGGAGTCACAGTCGTGAGAATTCTGTACAGACTTTGTTAAAATAATTCCTGTTGGGGCCAGCAGATGTGATAGTTAGAGCACTGGACTCCCACATGGCTGACCATGGTTCCATTCCTGGACCCTGAAGCTTGAAAAATCATGCCAGGTACATGTATGTGCATGCCCAAAATCCTGAGAGGAGAATGGAGAAGGGATTGTGGTGTAGCCATACCTTCTGGGGAGTGATTTCTCAATTTTGCTGTCTCTCTCCAGCAAGTACACACACACACACACACACACACACAATTTTCCCTTTGGCAAAAATCTAAAAACAACAACAAAAACAGTTGATTATATTTGTATGGTGACTTTGCAGACCATATTCAGTGCTGATACTACTCTGCCTTGATTACCACGACTTCATTACTTTTTAATCGCTTATTGCTCCCATGAGAGAGAGGCATTCCCATCAGGGTCCTCCTGCCACTGTCCAGCTCCTGTCTGAGCTGGCCCAGATCATGGGCACGAGTGTGCATGCCCAGATGCTCATGGAGGGCCCCGGACCTGAGCGCAGGACCTTCCCCATGTGGGTCCAGTTGTACCACTTCTGCGCCACTGCCTGCCCATATTACCACAGCTTTATAGCAAATCTCAAAATCACAGAGTCTGTCCCTGGCTTTGTTCTTCTCCTTAAATATTGTGTTAGCTATTCTGGGTCTTTTGACTTTCCATAGAAACTTTAGAATATGTTCGTTGATATCTGCAAGATGACTCGTTGAAAGTTTTAGTGGGATCATGTTGAATCTATAGGTCAAGTTGGGAAAAACAAGTATTTTGACAATATTGTTTCTTTTTTAAAAAGAATTATTTACTTTTATTTATTATTATTATTAATTTGCTACAAGTCACATGTGGTCAACAGAGAGAGGGAGGGAAAGTGAAAAAGCAAGCTGCCAGGTCTGGGACTTGAACTACGGTTGGCGATGTAGGAAGTCCAGCACCTTAACCACCATGCCACCTGCTGGCCCCTTGTCTTCCTATTCAGGTACATGAGCCATCTCTCTATGTTAGATGCCCTTTATTTGATCAGGGTTTTGTATATATGGAATACATCTTGCTTATCCACTCACCTGTTGATGGACACCTGGATTGCTTCCACTTTTCAGCTACTATAAACAACGCTACTGTAGGACTGGTAAAATGGTTAAGGCTGTTGGATCCCACATGGCCAACTGTGTAGTTTAAGTCCCAGACCTGGTGACTTGAAAAACACAGCAGGTGGGGCCAGCAGATAGAGTAGTTGTTAGGCTGCTGGAGTTCCACATGGCTGACTGCAGTTTGAGTTCTGGGCCTGGTTGCTTGAAACTCACGCCAGGTGCATGTGTGTGTTTACCCAAAATACTGAGGGGAATGGAGAAGGGATCACAGCATGGCCGTCTCCTCTGAGGGGGTGATTTCTCACTTTCCCTCTCACTATCTCTCTCTCTCTTCCCAGCAAGTGCAGATGTCCTAAGGCAAAAAGCGTTCTGTGTGCATTCTGTGTGCACACCCGGAACCCCAAGAGGAGGACAGAGGAGAGGGACTGCAGCGTGGTCATCCCCTTTGGAAGGCCTCTGGGGAATGCATGAGCCCTACTGGGAATTTAAAGTAAATAAATAATGCTACTATATGAATATCTCTTGAAGACTCTCTTTTCAGTTTTTCATATATATATTCAGAAGTGGAGCTGCTGAATCATATCATTTTTAGAATTTTATTTATTATTTTTAATTTGCCATAGTCCATGTGCGTTCACCAGAGAGAGACGGGGGTTGGAGGTGGGGCTAAGAAAGCAAGTTGCCAGGTCCAGAACATGAACCATAGTGGGCCGTACCAGCTCCTTAACTACCATGCCACCTGCTGGCCCCACTGGCTCACATATTAATTTTAAATTTTCGTTTGTTCATTTGTTTTTAGTTTGCTATAGGGCACATGTATTCTCTGGAGAAAGAGATAGAGAACGTGAGAGATCACCCCCTATGGGGGATGGCCACGCTGCTCACCTCAGCCCTCCTCAGTGTCCCTGCTTTAGAGATTTTTTTTTGCTACTTCAACCCTCCAGCATTTTACCTGTGCTCTAAAGGAGGCAGAAGCTCTTCTTAAACAGTGAAACCCCGACTCTCTTTTAAATATGAGTCTTGGGACCAGCAGGTGGTGTGATGGTTAAGGTGCTGGACACTCCCACATG